ATTTGATATTTTTCAAATACAAATTTGACTTCGTCGAAAAGGAAAAAAAAATATATGCCTTGTTGAGTCGAAGTCACATCATCGCAAAATTTATGAATGTCTGATGAACACGTTGCTTCTGGTTCAGTTTCCGCTACAGCTTCCAATTTTTTGCAGTCAGGCTTTTGTTTTACCAGTGGTTGACATTGGGCGCCAGATTTAACGATACATGAAGTATCTAATGAAAGAAAAATCTAGCTGTTATGTAAATAAAATGTGGGTTCCCTGCTTAGCATACCCTTATTTTGGCCGGATATTGATCTTGAAGCAGTTTGCAAGAGAGAATCCTCTCCAGTTTTTGTTTGGGCGGACTTGCTACTGCTGCTTGCCTTAACCTGAAATCAAGTGCGATATACCGTATTCAATATTAAATACTGGACTGTGCTTCCAGATTCGAATTAGCCAAACATTTCCACAGACCTGTTTCACGACTTTGACAATTTTCTTGAATTTCCTGGATTTTGGCGAGGCAGGAGGAGTGGTGGGAATTTCGTCAGTTGGCTTACGGGTCGCCTCAGCATTATTGCCTTCTGGTTTGCTCTTGACGGGTTTCGCGATCTGAAGTATATTGTTGAATTCATCGATTGAGAATGATTGTGACCTAATTTCTTCTATAGGAAAACTGAACGTACTTTCTTCACAATCTTGACTTTTCTAGCAGGTTTTTGATTTCCAACCGATGGCGTTACTGATGTTTCGATGGTTGTCAGACTCCCGGTAGGTGTCACTTCTCCAGGCAAGGGTAAGAATTGCTGGAAACTTGATCTAGGCTCTTCTTTCTTTTCCAAGTTCTCTGAAAAAACGATCTTGGATTATTCTTGAAAGTTGTGGCTCGAAAGGAATCACAACATACCGTCTTTGCCCTGGGATTGATCTTGCTGTGGTTCGCAACTTCTGGTTTCTTCAAATTTCTTAAAATCTATGGAAGCAGAAGCAAAAAAAAAAAAAAGAATCACGATTGTTACATCGGGCCAAGTCATGTAGGATTCTAGGGGAGTGAGTCATGATAAAATGCGATTCCGTTTTTCTCGGAAGTTCAATATAATCTAGAGTTGACCCGTTTTTCAATGGAATTTTTGGGAATGAAGCTCAACGAACAATGAAGTAATCAGTTGCCCAGGACTTGTGGAAGCATACAAAATATTCTTCTATTTTATTTTCTTCTAATAAAAATATGGTAGAAATATATAAAAAAGTTTCATGAGACTGCGACGTAATAAGAAAGATATCACAGACATAAACCAGGCCTTGGATGATGCTTTTAAAGAGGAAGTAAAAAGTTGAAATTAACCGTGGCTCTGGGAAAAATATGCGAAGTGGACTTAAGATTTTTATTGGTTGCAAACAAGAAACAATCGTCGGAAAAATTTGAAAATCACGCAAGATGTCGGAAGCTTTTTACTAAAAACAACATAACATTTTATAATTTATTTGACCCGAAAAGTTTCAACAGCGTTTGACATGGGCGGAGAACTCTGACCTCAACTAGAAAGTTTTCACTTATCTTCCTGCTGTAAATCTACTTTTTTTTAAAATCTGAAACAGAGCCAGAACCTTACAGCAATAGCATCGGCTACATCAATTTTTTATAAACAGTGGTATTTACTCTATAAATATCTAAGGATAATCAGGAGTGAAACAGCCCTCGTATATGAGGTGAAATGAAGCAATACGAATACAGTCGACTAAAAATCTCACCTTCGGAGATATACTCTATGGAATCTCTCGGAACAATTGCCAGAATATTATTTTGTGCGGTTTCAAAGCCATCAGGCGTTGGTAAAGTGAACCGACTGGCTTCCAATTGACAATGGAAGCTATTCGTAACATCCGCCATCTTTTCCACGCACGGAAATCCCTGCGTTTGACAAAATGGCTGCATGAAATCCCCGACGTGTCCCGTCGTCGTATTGCAGCTTTGCTGCTGGCCAGCACATGGACAAGAAGCACACACCAGTTTCACCGAATGACACCCACGATCTTCTTTCTTGTGTCTTCTAGAACGCCGCAAAGCGTCACTCTTTTCGTGTTCACCGTCCTCACGATCCTCAGCAGTTGCTGGATCATGATCGATGAGTGCTGTAGTTGCTGCGATTTGATCTTGGCCCTGATGAATCTGAGACACACAATGCTGGACTAGCAATAATGGCGACTTGTTGTTGTTGTCAGTGCTGTCGTTATGGTCAAACAGGTCTTGATCCTGAAGTGACCTGACGCGCTTTTCTGTTGAGTCTGAATTTCTGAATTCTTGAAAGGCTGGGGAAAAGGCTTGAATGTCTATTCCCACTTTTGGCATCCTGACTCGCTTGTGGCAGTGATGTACAGTATGTGGAGTGCTGGAATCGACCGGCCTATTATAAATGACGTTGACCTCGTTTAATTAATGCTGCTGGAAGATATCCGAAATCGTTCGATAAAAACCAGACATTCAAAATCTGGAAGTTTATGTCATTTAATACAGTTGGACCCCTATATATGGACGCCCCAACGATTCGACTTTGACACTAAAAAAAATGCCCCGTCATCCGGACAGTGTCTACTGTAATTCAGAAGCATCAATCACTCAAATTCAGAACTATAAACGAGTTGATTTATGCTTATTTATTCATTATCTGTGCGCAGTTAAGAAAGACTTGTATTTGTTCTTTGATTTTTGGCCTCCATTCAAGCCAAAAGATGAGACTCTGTGGTTTTCTTCTGTACGTCTATTTACTGTACAGTATCTTGAAGTTGACAAAAATGTTTTAGAAAAATGTTTCGGACTTGATTCCTATTTTATGATGAACAGGAGAACCAGTTAAATACAGTATGTTTCCATTGAAGTCCATGGAAAAACCTGACCTGACATGCGGACATCGCAATGTAAAAACAAGGAACGAACAAGCAGCAAATAATTACTGCCCCAATATATTTTAATGTTGTGCCACATTGGGTAAGAGAATTTGATCGCATTTTAGAAATTGAGAGATACTCACGAAATTTTCCCCTCTTCCAGAACATCTTCGTGTTCGTTTAGCACTTGATCCTCTGCTGTCATGGATCGAAATTTATGATTGTCGCCTTCTTTTTCGAAATTATCAGTGGTCTCTTCTTCGCGCGTATTTGAAGCAGTGAATGGTTTTATCATAACTGCATCATCTCGTGGTTCATCCGGAACTGCAAAGTAAGCATTGACAACGAATTTTCAAAAAAGCAATGCAGTACTATGTTCCCTAACCGTTACATCAATTGCAGATGAAACATCAAAGGCATTTCCATAAATAGCTTTGGAAAATAAGCGTAGTATATAATCGTAAAATTTTGTCTATTTCTGATTCCTCACGTAAAATGTTCTCGTTAAAATGTGTTCAACTGCGTAGCAATAAATATGAAATATATATTTTATCCTGCTGGATATGTTGAAAATACATGATGCTCCTCATTCGATATTGAATGTAAATTAATATGATATTTTCTTCATGTTTTATCCTGATGGTCCTTCAGTTGCGAAAACTGAATAAATCCCAATTGCATATCCTGAACTTTAGATTTAATTAACGAATTCAAATCTAAAATGAATCATTTCTTACGAAGTTAGCATTTTAAAAATCTACTCATATAAGTTTGCCCAAATTAGAGCGAATGAAAATGATAAACTATAACTTGAACATCTGATCGAGTTACCTCAGCTAACCCCTTCCATTTTATTTTGTTTTGTCTTAGGACTCGAGGCCTCTTTTTCAGTAAATTTTTCTTAAAATAATCGTCAAGGTGCGATTACTTCATGGTCTTGGGCTTGAATATCAAGAAGTCTGTATAGAAAGGAAGATAAAACCGATCAGGGCTTACGCCGAGGACCTCTGACCCGACTTACAATGAACCAAACGAATTCCGACGAATCGAGCATAAAATACTGTACTGTATACAGTATTTTAAAATTAATCGTGACCCGTAAAAATAACGCGAGATTTCAGAAGTATTGTTCGTGGAACACGTGAGAGAGAAGAGCTAAGAATAAAAATAATATAACGCGCATTTAGAGCTAAATGTAATGGAGAAAGGACAAGTTTCTTCATCAAGTGATTGATGTTTGAAAAAGTGTACTACAGTTACATACCTTTTGATTCCAGAGGCAGGATATGAGAATTCTCATACATGCAATTGCTCCTGAACACTAATCCCTCTTCTGGACACGGGTACATCAACAATGAACCAAGGGGATACGGTGCGTGTAGCCTTTCAATTATGATAGGCTTCTTTGTTGTCTTAAAAAGCTGCAAAATCGGTGCAGCTGCTTCTGCGTGCAAAAGTCCGCCTTCTGCTGAACGCCGAGTTTTAAAAAATTAAGTTAGCTTGAAATTTGAAAGTTAATTTTCATTCGTGCCCCAATTTGCATTCACCTTCCGCTTCGCTGCCAGACTGGCTTCTTCGGGAAATATCCAGGGGTTGGGTTTTGTTTCTTTCCTCTCTCGGAAATTCTTGCCCGACTGACGGGGTAGAATACTCGTCTAGAAACCATTGAAGTATCGCCGAACGAGGTTCTGAAACTGAACAATTTGTTGATGTTCAGAAATGATCCTTTAGAAATAAATACAGTAGTGGGATCGAGACAGACGGACGCTCAAACATATACAGGTGATTCGACTTGAGGACACTTGTCTGCCTCAGCAAATGGACATCGTCTCAAAATACCGACTCTTGGCCAACATTTCTTGAAGAATGAAACAATTTTAATTTTTCAAAATTTTAATATCTCGAATGAATTAATCTATATTTACACAAAAAAATAAAAAGTGGGAAAAATTATCCCATTTCTTGGTGGACTGTTCCCTAATTCTTAATAAGCAGGAGCACCATTTAAATGTGTTCCCGTATAAGTCTATGGGAAAACGGGACCCCACATGCGGACATTCCGACATAGGGACCAAGCACCAATTGCGTCCGCATCTCGGGGCTCCACTGAATAATCCCTTTGTTGTTACAATACCTGGAATGGTAATCTCCGTCTGAACAGCTTTGCTTCCGGGTGCAGCACGGGGGGTAATTGAAATTTCTTTTTCTTCAATTCGAGAGGTAAAAGCTTTACCCTCTCGTTTCAACCTGCAAAATTTTCAATTCGTTTACAAATTTTGAGCACTCAATTTCTATCGACCAAGCATAATTTCGCGCGACACTCACGAAAACGTGTTTTCATCGTCTCTCGAATCGTCCAATTTCTTACTTGTCTTTTGCTTGTATCCCCAAGAAACCTTGGCCTGTGTACTGCAAGAGATCAGCATCAAAAATACATCATAGTAAAAAAGCAGAACAAGACATAAAACTGATTTGTTTAAAAAAATACTTGTCAAGTTTGATGGATGTTTCACTCATCCTCCTCGGGTGTTCGACTTTCGCTAAATCCTCAATGAAGTCTTGTACGGCGGTTTGCTCTTCGTCGAGTTTGAAAGTGACTCTGGTCACGGGAGAGTTGAAAAAAACAACAAAATATTGCCGTCAAAATGTAATCGTTCACCGTAAAAATAGTCGTGTACCTGTTCCTAGAACTGCTACCACTTTGATATGATGCACCAATAATGCTACTTCCTGAGTCAGAGCCGTGTCTAGATCTTCTGGCAATAATTCCACCGCTTTGCTCTACTGGTTCCAACTTCGTCCATGATCCAAACCTTCCTTTTTCTTCCGCCTAAAAATAGGAGCAAAAATTCGAAAACGAAAACAATTCATGGGAATATTTATGTGAAACATGAATGATATAAAAATCTCACTACTAAAATATAAGAAAAAAATGAAATTGGAATTTTGTTTGTCCAAAAATCTTCATAACTTCATGTGATGACTTTGCGAAGAAAATTTATAAAAAGAAATCAGGAGGGAATTTACGATAGATTTTTCATACTTGCAAAAGCCCGATTGACAAGTTAAAGTGATGTCGGATTCTGTTGCGTCAGCTGAGCCTAGAATGTTTTGACGTGGGTATTCTCAGATATTAAAATTACAGTGGTGCCCCGAGATTCGGACGTAATTAATTGGTGTTTGATCCATGTCTCTACGTCGGGATGTTCGAAAGTCGGGTCATGTTTTCTCAAACTTGTTTGAAATTAGTTCAATTAGTTCTACTGATCATCAAAAAATTAGGAATGAAGTCCCCCAAAATAAAAATAAAAATTCTTCCCAGGTTTAAGATACAGTAAATTACTGTGCAGAAGAAAACCCGCAGAATATGATATATTTGCTTGATAAAAAGCCCAAAAAGCAAGCAACAAATGCAAGTATTGCTGTTCTATGCTCTGATGATAGCAAAAGCTCTGAAAAATTAGCTTGTTTTGGGTAAAACTTCATAAGTAATTTTATACCGAAATGTATTTCTTCATTTTTGAAAGTAAACTGCTGAATTTGTTCAAAATACTCTGTATCTAAATGAAGAAAATCTCATTTTCCTGGAAATGTTTCAAAAGTTCGTGTATCGCGAGACATTGTCCGGAAGTTGGGGCATCTTTTTCAATTGTTTTCAAGTCAAATCGTTCGTATGTCGGAGCCCCATCACTGCACTTCATTGAAAAATTCTTTGGTTCACTAAAAATATCCCTACGTATTGGAAGTGAGAAGAATGAGCAACACTTACTTTACAAAATACAGTCTACTATACTACTATTATTCTACTATAATTATTTTATTCTTTTAAAAAAATATTCTTATAATTTTTCTTTTCACAAAAGATTGCATTGTCATCAGTTTCTAAGCTATCCTGAAAGTTTCAGCTTGCTAGCTAGTCGGGAAGTGAGCAAAATTTGAGTTGCAAAATTTTATGTGGACAAACAAACGGACAAGAAAGCAAGTTAATAAAAACGTGTTAATAAAAACAGCTGGCCTATGGTATCATAAGTTGACGTTTTCATAATTCCAGTGGCGCAGATTTGTGCGTTCACGCAGATTTTAAGCTCCCTCGTCAGTATTCTGGAACCGCCCTATTTTTACGTTTTAGTACTGTATATACCCGGTATCCACAGCTTTTGAAACTTTTCTGGAGAGGAAAAAAAATTAAATTGCCGAAACCTTTGTTCCAAGTAAAGGAACAGCAGAGAATTTGCTCCTGAGCACCGGCTTGGAAAGAAGGCGACTGATGCTTCTACTGGTGCTGCTGTCGGCCTCTGGTGGCGAACCAGCTGCTCGATCCCTCAGGGATCCAGAAGAAGTCCTGGCACCAGCAGTGGTACTCAATTTGACAGCCTCATCCACAGCCGCCACAGCTAGCATGATGGGCTCCACGTCGGAATTGTAGTAAACGTGGTCTTCACTAGCACCAGTGCCAGCAGCTTCAAAGGCGTCCGTTGAGCTTTGCCTTACGTCTCCAATCGGACAGTACGGTTTATTGAGAATACAGTTCTTGCTGGCCTTTGGGCTAGTGCTGATGCTGTTGGTGGTGGTTGTGGTTGGGGTTCCTGAGCGGGGTTTGCGACTCCTGTGGGCCCTGGATGACCTGTGCTTCGGGTGCTTTTGACTTTGGCTGATGGTGTCTTGCAGGCCGCTGATGTCTGAAATGTGGTGTAATACATTTGAACGTCGGTATAACTCGAGCCTCTTCAAGTCGAATTTTTTTCAAGTCCCCATCTCAATTGCTTTGGAAAGAAATGCATTAAAAGCCTCTCGAACTTTTCCTCTCAAACCCTCATAACTCAAAAATTGTCTGAGGCCTTTTGTCTATTAATGTCTTGACACAGATGTACACATTTTTTCCCTAAAACCTTTTTTAAGATAGCAAGTTGAGGGGAAAAGAAAAGTTCTTACTCAGACATGGGTGTCGTTTTTACGAAATTGAGTAAATTATAAAAGATTTACAAAAGGCTTTCTGTCAGAGTTGAATAAAAACTCATCAATTGGCAGGTGGGTGACCTCCCAAAGAATAAGACCAAACGTGTTTTTCTTGAACACGGTGTAAATACACTCAAATGGTTTTGCAAATTGACAAGAAACTTGAAAGGCGTTTCTCAAGAGAACAACTTTGTGAATAACATGGCAGTTTTTGAACACAGTTCAACAGAAACTTATATACACAGCAAGGAATTTCACGACACAATGGCCTACAACTTTTTAGCCTTTTTGTCATTTTCTTCCGCCCTGCTTTCAAAGGGGGAAATTGGCAGCACTGGCAACAATTTCCGCTGGAACTCCGGTAAATTTGGCCTGGCAATTCCAGGTCAATATGCCAGGCCTTATTTAACTTACGGGATTTTTGGAATCTCCCATTGAAAAAGGGAGCGCCTCAAGGGAATGTAAAAAACCCATGGGACAGCATTTGTTGCCCCTTGGGAGGCCAATTTCCCTTGAGGCACCCGCGGTTGGCAGGCATATTATGTTGTAAAAGATTGTCAAATCCCCCACTTGAAGCAGGTTGCTTTTTGTTCCCCATAAATCTGGGGGTCATCTTACTGACTTTTCTAAGGAAGAGTGCTCTGATGGATTTATCGCCGCCAGATGGTTTTGGCCATTTGTCTTTCAGTGCGCCAAATTATATTGACATGCACAATTTTAAAATTAGTCTCCTGTTGTGAATTGGTACAGTTCAACAAACAAAAAACAATACACTAAAGTCATTGAGGATTATATTTTACAACAGACAGAAATGGAAAAGCAATAAAAAGTGACGATGTGTTTTGAAAGGAAGTGAAAGACTAATTGGGAAAATGAATCACTGCCCTCAAGTTCAGCATCCTGTAAACTCATTCAAGAAGCAATTTGAGGCGCAGAATATCATTATTTGCAATTTCCTGCAACTCTTGTATCTTTCCCACAACAAAAAATGCTTGGTTTCCCTGACTTTAAACTTCCTTCATTAGACTTTGCTGGTGACTCAAGTTCAAGTGTATACAGTATAGTTAATTGTGGTGCCATGAGAAGACTACAGAACATAAAATAAGTAAAGAGAAATGTTGATTTGGGAAAATTTTTCGTGAACCAAAAATATTAATACAGTACTCCATCAATTTAAAGCTTGGAATTGAAAAAAAACCAATTAGCTCCTTTTTGCGCAGAACTAATTTGATTTCAATTCACTGTCCTTTTTTCCTTACAGTGCCTTTTTGTCAATCAATAACACGAAAATCTCGCCAGTTAGTCATGAAATAACCCTCTGTAATTTCTGTCATTTTTCCTATAAAAAATCAGGTTTACCTATGAATCTAGCTTATGGTTCTACAAGAATATTTAAAAACAAATTTATTCGTCCTTGGTTTACTTAAGCTTAGTCACTTTTAGCAGGTGGCATTGTATCCGTGTGTCTGTTTCATGAGGAAATGCACTTCATTATTGAAACATTGTCAGTTTTGAACACTCCACTTGATGTAAAAGAACTCTATTGGATATGGATGCTTTTATTTACCGTCCATGGTTCCCTGTGAAATGGAGTTCTCTTCGCTGAGCTTCTCTGCTCTGACACCTGGAAATAGAATGAAGAATTAATGTTCATAAAATATTCAGGCGTCTCTTTTTTCAAACTTGAACTCTTTGACATCACTTGAAGCAAGGGTATTCCACTTGGACGCTTGAGGGAAAATTTTTCGGAAAACAAACTTCCTTATAAAACTAATCGGGTAAATTACTGTGATTGTAAAGAAGCCCACCTGCCGTTTAATTTTAATTTTTTGACACACTTCAGCAGAGAATGTTAGTGAAAAAAAAGCTAGGGCAGCATTTCAAAGCTAATAACCTTGAAATGCAGTAATCCCGATCTTAATGAAGAAAACATTTATTCTACAATCGGATATAGATTCTACCTCATATTGATATTCATGCGAGAAACTGGCTCAAAAAGAAAGCACTTATCTACGTTAGCAAAAGTAAAGTGTCGAATGGAAAAGCTATTTTCTGTTTGAGCGCATCATTCGAGATACTGTATATTCAAGTGATCGAATGACTGTCATTGGGTCAACAAATGCATTATTGAGGTAAGAGTTGTGAGTGACCACATGGGTAAAAAAATTTTCGTCCGATTTCTCAATCTCGACGATGAAAGGCACGACAGAGCGGCTTTTTGCGGATCAGTTTCTAAATTCAAGAAACTATAAACGTTATTATACATATAATAAAAACCTCTTCGACTTACTTGCTGTATCGAAAGTTCCATGGTCGCCTCTTCCTGTACTCGTGCAGGTTCTTGCGCTACTGGTGGTACTGTCTTGGCCTTTTGTNATCAAGAACGTCGTCTTCCTTCCTTATATTTTTACCTGTGATGTTTCGGAAATATTGTCGTCACAGTTCTCGATTATTGTGCATTTGGCTTCAATCAAATCACCTTTTCCAGGAATCTGGAAAATCGTTATCCAAATGGCGGCAAATGCCGCGAAAGCAGCGAAACAAACCGGAACGTAGATACTATCCAACAAGCTTTCCAACGTGGACGAATGTTCAGTAACTGTTGACATCGCGTCAATTAACGAGGCGCAGGATCATTTATTTGTTATTTTTCTCGACGTTCCATTTTAATTGCAATAGGCAAAATATGAGGACGTATTGAAATTTTTTAAACACGTGCAAGGGCACGTTCTGTGTGCATCATCAGGCGAAGACTCGAATTTTCAACAAAGGTTAATCCGAGACTCGATGCGGAGCTCGTGAAATTTGAGTAGAATTTGCTGCTGGGCAGGCGGGAAATTACCCAGAAATCATCACAACTTTGGAAAGTTTCAAAAACCTTCAAAGAGTTTTCCTGTTGGATGTATGTAACGATGTAGAATTCTGGGAAAGTTCTTACCCGAACGAAGGCAATCGGTATTTTTCGTAACTACGATAAACTCGTGAAGATATTGGGTGAAAGTATTTTTGCTATTTTATTCATATCATCGGTTTTTCGTGCAAGAGCAACGTTGCTTTATTTAATTCTTCCGAGCACACATGCATTTCAATTCGTCATCGAAGTTATACTGTAATATCGTTTCTACTCGAATTCATGAAAAATTCAGATTTTCATCGCTCGACTTTGTTACGTTCCCAAAGCGAAAGCGGAACAAATTCAATTCGATTCAATTTAACTTTTCCCGCTAGTTGCGTAAGTGGATTATAAACCATGTAGAGCCTTCGCATGAATGAATTATGTGAACTGTTGTGTCTCATGATATGCCTGAAACTAATTTTTCCCTCACGTTCGATTTGATACGTTTTAGACGTTCGGATCTTTCCGAAAATATAAATTATTTCATCAACTGAATTTAATGCGATACCATTTAATTTTTCATCGAATGAGTCTGTACGCATTTAAGATCTATCGATTGAATTCTTGTTAATGAGTACTGTACATTGAGTTTGAAATTATTATTTAAGCAACACGAGGGAGTGGAAACGTAAGTACAGTACAGTAAAGTAAGAATGATAGATTGTCTTTTCGTCAAATATTTACTTTTTATCGTACTGTTCAAGCAAATAATTCACGTACTGTATTCATGAGAGCAATTTTTGAATTACCTCAATTGTTAAAAAATCGGAAACAGAATCGGCCAGTCGGGAAATAACCTGCGTTGAAAGACTTTCTTGCATAATCACATACATCACATACAAGTACGAACATATTACTTCGAAGTGAAGTTTAATTTGAGCATAGGTCAATTCACCTTTGAAATCTTCCCAACTGTTACATGCTAAAGAAGTCCTACTCATGTGTTGTCAAGCTTTTTTCATGTTTTTGATTCTCGACAGTGACTCGAAATGCCTGGCGTTTTCTGCTCGAGTACTTCGGCAGAATTCTGAAATTCTTGTTATATGTCGCTGACAACGTGACGTGGCTAAAATTCTCATGCATTTTTCCCTTGAATTTCTTGGACAGAACCATTTATTTTCTACGGCGTGGTTGAGAAGTAAAGTTAAGCTCCGCCGCGTTCAGAAATAAAAGTTTGAAGGAGGAACGATTAAATCAAGTATGAAAATCATACGAAAATGCAGTGTGTTCTTGGTAAAGTGACCATACTGAGCGTGATGTTTTTTGTGGAAGTGTTTGATCATCGATTCACGAATGGCCACTATGAATCTTGCAGTTGACGTTACTTAGAATGTTTCGAACCGTGAATGATCGAGAACCAAGATTGATGGACTCTCTCTTTAACGAAATTTGAGGAACCAGAAAAAATAGTATTGAGAGAATTTCGAAGAACAGGAAAAAAAATCAGTCTAGAGAGAATTTCGTTATTGCGAACCAATCAAACAAGGGTAGAAAACCCCATGGAACCACAAAAAAATGTGTATATCGTATGTCAGGCCGATTAATGACAAATTAGAGGAGAGAATAAAACGCAGTCACTCAGCCTTTAACGGCCGGATCCTCTTTAACAGAGTCCCTTTAGAGTAATCAGCTTTATCCAGACACACACAACCACAGAAGGATACAAAGTACCCAGAGGTACAGAACAATCGCGATAAGACGCAAGTACAATTCCACAGTCAGTCAGATCCACAAGCTATCGGTCACAGCTCTCGAGA